AAATGTGCTGGACACGATGGATGGATGGATGGATGGATTGTGATAAGAGTTGTACAAGCCCCCAATAAAATGATTTAAAAATTTTAAAGTTCAGAATTTTGAATCCTAGCTGAAAAATGATTTGTAGTCCTGATCCTTTGTGAAAGAAAGGTTTATGACTGTCTTAGACACACGTAAGCACTAGGAACGTGAGTCGCGTGTGCTTTATCGCTTCCTGTTTTCTTCCTAGGTTCGCCAAGCAGCTTTCCAGTCTCTGGGGCCGCTCATATCCACTTTTGCTGATCCGTCCAGTTCTGGCCGGCAGTTTAAAGAGGAAGGCCAGAGCTCAGAAGATAACTTGTCAATAGAAGGGATAAATAGGTATAAGTTTTAAAACTTCACTTTCAGATTTTAGTACTTCAGAAGTTTTCATTTCCTCTGTTTAAAAATAAATGCTTTTGGGGGGTAAAGTTTATTATTTTTCTTGAATATAAAAACTGGTAACTATGTTTATAATTTAAATTTAAATGCATTTAGTGCTAATGTCTCTCGGACTAGTTACCTATGAGGTGAGAAGGTGCATGTAACATGCTTATCTTGTTCTCTATTTAATAAGTTACTTAGCAAGTAAACAACCTGTTTGATATTTACAATATACAAAGAAATAACTTTACAATGTAGATATTTTTATTGTTTTTTTTAAAAATTAAGGAATAAAACCTAATTTAGTAATAACAATGTTTGTTTTAGTATATACTCAATTTCTGCTATTTTCACTTTCTGTTAAAGATTTTGAGCCTCATAATTGAGGGAAATATTTTAATGATGAGCAACAAAGTAGTATGCTTATTAATGAAAATATAAATTTTTAGCGTATTTTGGGGAATATGTTGGTAGTCAAAAAGTATTACCACTGGGGGGTTCCTTGCCCCCCCCCCTGTTTATGAATACACAAGTTTATTCCAAATAAAATATGTTGGAACATGTCCCTGTGATCAAACAAGTTCTGGTGGCTGTAGTGTAGACAGTTCTTTCATTACCAGAAAGCAAACAGTGCTAGCAAGTCATTGCCATCAAGTCATATGCTGATTCAAGCTACCTGTAGGACAGGGTAGAACTGCCCCTTCTGTGTTTGAGACTGTAAGCCCATCATTTTTCTGAGGAGCTGCTGGTGATTTTGAACTAATGGTCTTTCAGTTAGCAACCCAGTGCATAACCACTATGCTACCAGGCTCTGTGTTAGGCAGCCTTCAGAAAAAAAGGTCTGATCAAAAGAGTAGTTTACAAAGGGGATCTGCTGGGCCAGTTAAATTCAAGCCAGGAAAAAAGGTCAGCCCTGAAGCTTATGATGGCTGTCTTTTGCATTCTCAAGGGTTCATATTTATAGATTCCTACCCCCCCATCCCACCCCAAGAGAGCACAGGACAATTACAAGGACTTAAGAACTTTTACCAAAATGGAAAACTACATTGGTGGGGAAAAGGCCAGGAAAACGGTGCCAAGGAAAGTTATTCCATCACAATAATGGACCTACTTATTTTTTGAGGGTAGCTCAAAGGACCATCTTGTGAGAATTTTGTTGGAAAACTAGGCCCTCATCCTACATTTCTGAATTTTCCCCTTCAGACTTTATTGTTATCCCCAAACTGAAAGAACATTTAAAGGGAACATGATTTGAGTTCCATCAGGATGGAATGATAGAAATAAATCAAAGAATATACGGTAGAATTCTTTGGGGAACAGTTAGAGTTATGGAAACAGCGTTCAGAAGAGTATAGACTTAGGGGATATGTCAAGAAATAATAACTTCCCATTTTGATACTTATGTTTAGTAAAGGTTTCTGTGGTTTTGTACAAATTCTTTTTTACTTTCCCCCTTGTACATCAACTTTGATAGTCATATACTTGAAATGATTTAGTGCTTTTTTTAAAGGTAGTGCTTGAGTCGCTATAGTGACTTATGTTCTCCTGTGTCCCGATGCTAGTGGGGATTTTCTTCCGTAGGCCTTGATACTTAATGCTTGCTTTCTTGGTGATTTGATCGGGCAGTTCCTCCTTTCTTTGCCGCCTTGTGTTGCTTCTTTGCCAGTTCTCCTACTGTCTTGCTGAATGAGTAGTCAAACAAACCCGAGGTACTATTTTTGTAAAGGAAGAAAAATTCTTCTAAACCTGTCTGGTTCCAAAGCAAAGGCCATCAGTTCTTTTGAAAACAGCTCTTTGAGGAGTTTAACAAAATGATGGTGGGGGGGAAATGTCTTTTTAAATTTTAAATAAAGTGATAATAATAAATAAACTTTAAGTCTTTTTACCTTTAAACTATATTCAAGTGTGGTAAATATTGTTACATAACTGATTTTTAAGGCTCAGAATGATCTAGTAAATGAAAATATAGATGTACTGTATAGAGAATTGTATGGGATGGAGATCTGTAGACTGTAAAGTGCCAGATAGTGTTTTAGCCTGACATCTACTGTATAGGGTCTTTGTTACCACCGCTACTCCCTGCCTTTGCAACCCCAAAGCAGCTGTACACCCTGCATGAATGCATAGGCTTGGCTATGTACGAAAACATTTGGTAGAGCTGTCTTGGACATTATTGGAAGAGCTATTTAAAGGCAATTATCTTTTGCTACAAATGTCAGTTCTTCTTGTAGTTAGATAAACCTTTATGACAAATGAAATGTATAATATTGGGTTTTCACTATCTCACTAGACTTTATTGAATTGTGTTAATGCTTTGATGGGCGGTAAGAAGTCCTAGATAAGGAAGGGTGTTAAATATTCTGAAAGCTTTCATATAATTTAACTTCCTGTTTTCCAAAAGAGTGCTATTTATTTTTTGTGCTCAAAAGGTACATGTTACACAGTTCCTACAAACCATGCAGTGTATTGCGTGTTAGTTTTTTATGTGTGCTATGTGTATTCATGGGCACATACAGTAGTAAACCCCATTAGTGCTAACATAAAAGGTTTATGTCTTAAGTGGCATATTTCCATTATGTAAGGCTAATTTGTTCATTACTCATTATGCACAAATGAAGCACCTAAGAGAAATAAGATAGCTGAAAAGATAGAGCTTGATTTGTTTTCCAAGTCCTTTCAGTTTCCAAGGATTCTAATTTCTCAAATTTATATCTCAGGAAGTATAATTTTAGCAATATAGGTCAAGTATTTATTTCATTAGATTTTGAAAGCATCTTGTATGGCCTCTATGAAGAGGAATCAGTTTGATGACAATGAGTTTTTTAAGATTTTAATAACCTCTTGAATCATTATTGATCATAAACTTGACTTTATGTAGCAGATTTATTTTTCACTCAACCAGAGGAGGCTACTACTGTTTCTATGTTAAATCTAGCAGCAGAGTTAAACTTAAGGGGGTTAATTAGTTAAGTTAACAGGCTGGCACAAGTCAGTATCAGAAAGCAGTCAGGATCTAGTCATTGGTCCATACCTCATCTCAACCAGCAACCAAGTCTTTTTCTGGTCTTAAACCTCTCAGCCACATGGTCCCTTGGCTTCTGCCTCCTTGGACAAGGAAGCCCGTCTTTCACTCTGCCTCACACTGCTCCTTGCCTCAGCCTCTGGTTTTGTCCTGGATCCTGTGGTCTCCGTCCTATAGCCTCTGGTGCCTCTGGTCTTGGTCTCTCCAGTTCAGACAAAGATCTTGAACATGTGCCACTATCATGGTCGTTATTCACAGAGGAATGGCTTTGGTGATGATGGTGTGTTTTTTGTTTTTCAGTGGACCATACCCACAGGGAAAACAAAATGAGATGGTAGCCAGAGGCAGTGACTGTTGTTGTTATTGTTAGGTGCCATCAAGTAATTTTTGACCCATAGCAACCCTATGTACAATAGAATGAAACACTTCCCAGTCCTATGCCTGAGCCCATTGTGGCAGCCACTGTGTGAATCCATCTTGTTGAGGGCCTTCATCTTTTCACAGTCCCTTTTCCAGGGAGTGATCCCTCTTGACAGCATGTCCAGAGTGTGTAAGGTGAAGCCTTGCCTTCCTTGCGTCTAAGAAAAGGAGCATTCTCGCCACACTTCTTCCAAGATAGACTGGTTGGTCTCTTTAGCAGTTCATGGTACTTTCAATATTCTTTGCCCATACCACAAATCAAATGCATTGATTCTCTTTCAGTCTTCCTTATTTAATATCCAGTTTTCACATGCTATGAGGCAATGAAAAATAAATATGGCTTGAGTCAGGAACACTTTAGTCTTCAACATAACATCTTTGCTTTTCAATATTCTAAAGAGGGCTTGTGCAGCAGATTTACCTAATGCAACTTGATTTTTAATCTCCTGACTGCTGCTTCCATGAGCATTGATTGTGGATCCAAGCAAGACAAAATGCTTGATAACTTCAACCTTTTCTCCATTAATCTTTTTTTTTAATTTTACGACTAATTAGGAGTTAATACATATATCATCGCATAGTTCAATCACGTCAAGCAGAATTGTACATTGCTACCACAATCAGTTTGCACGCATTCTTTTCCTCCTGGAGTCCTTGATCTCATCTCCCCCTCCACCCCAAGCCCCTCCCCCCCCAAAATAACCCCTTATTCTACTTGCTGTCCCCATATGTTCATCAGTGCTGGGTTTCACATACTGAAACACAGAAAAACATATAACAGCTTCATAAGGGTGACCGCCAGTGACATAACACCTCTGAGACACACCCTAATAAGAACAAACAAAGCAAAACAAAAATACAGAACCATTTTCACCACTTATCTTGACGTTAACCACTAGCCCAGTTGTGAGAATTTGGTCTTCCTTCCATGGAGTTGTCATCCACACTGAAGGCTGCAGTCCTTGGTCTTCCTCAGCAAATGCTGCTAGTCCTCCTCACTTGCAGCAAGCAAGGTTGTGTCATCTGCATATTGAGGTGGTTAATAACCCTTCCTCCAGTACTTACATCGCATTCTTCTTCAGATTAGCCAGTTTCTCTGATTAACTGCTCAGCGTACACACTGAAAAAGTATGGTCAAAGAATACAACCCTGACACATCTTTCCTGATTCAAAATCGTACAGCATTCGCTTGTTCTGTTCTCACAACGGCCTCTTGATCCAGGTACAAGTTCTGCCTGAGCACAGCCAAGTGTTCTGGGATTTCCATTCTTCTAAAGGTTATCCATAGTTTGTTATGATCCACACAATCCAATCCCTTGGCATAGTCAATACAACACAACTAAACATCTTTCTTGTATTTTTTGCTTTGAGCCAAGATTCTTCTGACAACAGCAGCGATACCCTGTTCTGAAGCCAGCCTGCCCTCTGACAGCTCCCTGTCTGTACTGCTGCATGTATTGGATAACCTTCAGTAAAACTGTACTTGCATGTGCTATTAGTGATATCAGTTCAATAG